GGGCGCGTGCGCGGGGCGGGGTGCGGGAGGGAGGGCGCGTGGCGGGGCGGTGGGGGCGGTGCGGTGAACGGGATGCGCGAGTCGGCGCGGAGCACCGGTGGCCCGCGAACGGGGGCGGACTTTATGGGCGAAAGGGCGGGTTCTGACGTGTCGCGGGGGCGCGGAGCTCGGGCGGCGTTAATTTAATACGGCGCGGGATCGGCCGCGTGTCGGTTTGAGGTGCCGCTCTGGCGCTGCCCTGGCGGGGCCCGATCTCAGACACCGCAATAAAATAATGGCCCTAAAATAATTGCGCTGTAATGGGGCTGTAAGGAAGGCCCACGTGCTGCTAGCCTGGCAGGGAGTGGGTGCAGGCAGTTGTGCATCCCTGTTCTTCCCCCGTGGCCTCGATTTGCGTACAGTAAGGGCATCTCCACTGCGCCTTGTGTTTTGGAGCCACGTTGCCATAGCGCCTGTGAGGCTCACAAGCTGATGCGTCCACAGTCTCCACAGCGTGGACTCCACACTTGGATTTATTGTCTACCGCACCAGGGAACCGTACCAGGGAACCGTACCAGGGAACTTGACGCAACGCTCATCAATTTGACAGCATCGCCTAAATCGCCTCCGCACCGATCGCAACTGATCGCAAAACAACTTCTGCTTTGACATGATCCAAGTGTGAGGCTACTGATCTCAGTAACCGCAGGAACCGCCCGCCCGGGATGTTGGTGTTGATAGGCGAGGAAATTCGCCAAGAGATGACGAAAAATCTCGAGGCTGAATTAGCCCTCGTCCGGAAGCAACTGGAGTTACAAGCGTCTGAGTTCCACACGGTGTTAGGAGAGCTATCTGCTCGAGTGGATCTCGTCGAGAAGGAGCAAGGTGATGGGACCGACGGTCTGGAGCCGGAGATCCCAGCTTCGTTGAAACTTTCAGTCAAGGACGAAAGGCGCGACGCGAATCAAGCTTCGGAGTCCTTAGGTAAATTTGGAAGCAGTATCGACGACAGGTTTGACCGCGCCGCTCATCGTCTCAAGGACCTTGAGCAGGCCGCCAGCCAAGAGCCGCTCCCTACGGGTCGAGAAGGCGACCGTCGATCGGAGAAGG